CACGGACCCTATACGGCTGTCCTCAAGGACAACGTATCCGTTTAGAGACAAGGATAACTCGACACTTTCATAAGTGTCAGCAGTTGACATCTGCGTCGGATAGCCGCCTGTATTACTTGGGATAGATACAGGAGGCGCCCTCTGAGTTAATAGTCAACAAAAATTGACGAATCAAGGGGATTAGTCGGCCATTGACGACTGATACCTCTACTACTCAGGATTAGGAGTAGCCACAATTGGTTACGCCGTAGTTAAACCATAGTTGTTCTCCCATACTTGGTCCGGAATCCTAAAAGTTTGAGCAGTCCGCCTGGTCTTTGGCAAAAAGGCACTCAAACAAACATTCCCACTAAGAAATACTAAATGAATCTGAGCAATTTAGAAGGACCTCTCGGTGTCCGACTGGATGTGATAACGACTGATACATCCGAATTGACAGTCGTCCAAACAACAAGCACCCTACTATGTTTCTCGTAAACATACCAAGGGACTTGTGACAATCAATAAAACAGCGACTAGCCGACTGTTCTCTAAGAACTAGGCGAACCCCTGTGTCTTGAAATGCACTATAAGTTGGTTAATTTAGTCTGGTTATGTTTGCTACTAGGGTCGGACTGTGTATGCCCGACTAATTACTCTCTTTTTAAGAAGTAACCTAGTCGTCCAGGGGCAAGGGAAGTCGGCATCAAGGTGCAACATCTTGGCTAAAAATTTTAACATGGATATGCCATACAAGCGGCTATTAAGTTACGAAGTGCAAAATGTTTGGCAAATTCAACAAAAACAAAAACAAAAAATCAAAAAACAGCATATGTAACAGCAAAAGACGACTCAACAGTCACTAATTCATGTCAGGTTAAAGCCAGACAAGCTGGCAAAGTTAAGTTAAAACAAGACAAGCTGGAAAATATTCAGAAGCCCCGGCCCCCTGGCCGGGTAAAGATACATAAATACACGGCACGCAGGCCGGATCAGGAATGAATAAAGAAATGCTTAAACAGTTGGAGGGACCTCGCCTTCAGCAACCGCCTTCTCCTGCTGGGGAGGGGACACTTGATTGCTCTGAACAGTCTCCTGTTCAGGCACCTTTTTTGAAGATTCCCCTTCAGCCCCAGCAATCGCCACTTCCTCTTCAGAAGAAGAAGAAGACTCGAACTCCCCCTGGTCGTCGCCTCCTCCCATGACCACCTCGTCATGCTCTTGAGTGCAAGCGGAAAAGTGGTTCCCCCATGTGGAATAGTCGGTGTCTGGGTAGAGGCGGTCCCAGGTCATCTTCATGATAGCGTTGCAATCTTCCATCATGTCGGCGACCAGGACCTTTTTCTCCTCTTCAAACCTCGACTTATACTTTTTAGCCCGTTGCTTTTCCTGGTTGGCCAGTCGCTGCTTCAGGCGGGCATTGCTGGTTTTCAAGCCCTCCGCCGCCTTCACAGCCTCGTCATGGGCGTCGGCCTTCTCCTGGTTCTCGGTGACTTTGAGCTTGAGCTCTTTATTTTTTCTTTGGCCGCCTCTAGGTCATCCTTGACTTGTTGATTCGCAGCCGCCTGTGCAAGCAATATGTCATTCGTCAAGACTTCATTTTGAAAAATAGCAAACATGGCCTTGTCCATGGTGGAGGCGACGTGCTCTTGGGAAAACTTTACCTCTTTGTTCTTTTCTTGGATGGGCCGACGGAGACCGTACACTCGCAGCATCGACTAATCAAAAACAAAAGAACAGTCGGTCAACTAAAGGTTCGTCTCTCAAAAGTGAAGCAGAGTTTGTGAGGGCTTAAAGATACCTCAGCCAACAAGGAAACGATGCCATCTAGGTTAAGGGTGCCGAACCCTCTAACCGTTTCCTTCTCTTGAGAAGGGACCGCCTGCAACATAGTCTTTGCTATGGCAGCAAGGTCTGGGCGAGGAGGATGATCGCCTGTAAAAAGTGGCGGATGGTTGATATCCGACTGGAAAACTTGAAGAAGTTCTCAAAGAAGTTGGGAAAACAAGTTACCATCAGGCGCCTTCTCCTTGTTTTTCTCTGCAGGACGTTTGTCCTTTTCCTGTTGCCTACCCTTCTCTAAAGGGAAGTTGGCAGCAGGGGACGACCCATGTTTGGTCGCCACATGTTTTCGAGGACGAAGAGGGGTGCTCGTGTCCCCTCCTGCCTGCTTCCTAGCCTTCTCGGGAGGCGGTTGAGGGGTCGACCGGTCCTACAAGCAAACATCACAGTCGGTCAGTAGGGTTCACTGAAAAACAAGAGATAAAGAGATTGGATTCAATCATGAAGTCTTACTCCACCCGGCTTGTTGGCTGGAAACTCCTTAGTTGGGCGTTTGCCCAAAACCGCCGAGTGGTACTGTGTTTCCGCCTTTTTCGAAGCAGAAACTTTCTCCATTGCTTTGGCTGCATCAAGAAATCAAGACTTAGAAAAATGGACAAGCGACAAGGTTAGTACGGGAAACAGGCGGATAGCTACCTTCAGACATTTCGGTACTTAGCCCACAGGCGGCCAAGTACGTCCCATCGTACAACCAGTTGTATTTGGGAACATATTGTTGGGGAACAAAAACTTTCTTCCCAGATTCAGGGTCCGCCTGAATGTCAACCTTAAACAAGCCAGCGTCTAAAATCTCGCGCTTGGCCTTGGAAGGAATAGGCGGCATGTCTTTGACGGTTAGGAAGGGTGGATCCCTATTCCACCTATTGTACTTGGCATTTTTGGCCTTGTCAGGGCAAGTGATAACATAGAAGGTGATCCGCCAGTCCTTCCACTTGTTCTCCTTGCCCTGTGCCATGGCATATCCCTTATGGGATGTCAGCTGATATCAGTCGAACCCTGTTGCTTTTGGAGTCCGACTAAGGTAATTCATTTGAGTAAACGCCTCGAAACTGGCGTCTACTTCATGCATTTTGCACCCGGCCACATAGCCGAGTATGTTGAACAAGGAATTGGGGGCCAGCTGCCACAACCCAATCTGGTATCCGTCTAAAATGGCCTCGACAGCCGGGTGAAGAGGAATTTAAAGGCCGGCCTTAATAGCCTCCTCATAACAACCAAAGCACTGGTCCCCATAGCTGGAACCAGTCGGCCAAACTACAGTATCCTCTCTATCGGGGACCGGCACTAAGTAGTCGTCCCCCATTACATGCTTGGAGATGAACTCTCCAAATCTCTCTATCATGACCTTCCGCCTCCCTTCAGGCACATGGTGAAAATAAGGGGCGTAAAAGTCTCGGTAGGATGCCATGGGCTCGGCCCAGTTCTCCCCATCGACACGCTTAAAGACTCTCTAGCTGTGTGAATCCTAGAATACAGCTCTTCAGAGTCGAGGGAGTTCTGGCTCTCGCTATTGGCGTCTGACTCGTCGCTAAAGTCCGACGAGTCATTTGGTTGCAAAGGTTCGGTGGGTGCCGCCTCAGTTTCAGAAGGCGACTCCTCAGTTTGGTTTGGGGTTTGAGAGGGTCCAGCAGGGACCGCCTCCTTCTCAGGAGGCGACTCCCAAGAGTCATGTAAGATTGAGTCGCCAGGTGTACTTGGGGTACCCGATCTGTGATCAGGAAGGTCATTGTGTATAAGAGCCGTCTGAGTTGGTTATTCGGCCAGTAGTCTTGATTCTTGCCATGATGTCCTGCACAGACATGGAAACAGTCGGATGTTGTGAAAAGGACAAGGGTGGTCCTAGAAAAGTGGAGTCGGCACTCCTAGTCCTGGATTCAGACGTCCCCGGTGACCGACTAATCGACAACCTAGGTCGTGTCGAGTGTCTTTGAGACACCATACTTTGTAAAATAAAAGAGGAAAAAGATTCAAAGAATGGATGTTTACCTGAAGTTGAAAGTTGAAGTAGACTGGAAGTAGGCGCTCGAGACCGGCGGGGTACGACTGCTCCGTAAAATCGCAAAAAAACTGGGGTCCGAGAGATCTCTTTCTGAAAATAAAGTGAACAAATGTGAACAAAAGACTTGTTGACCAACCCTATTTAAAAACTTGGGCGGGAAAATTCTCGGCCAAGCTATCCGTCGACACCTGTCGCCTCCTCATTGGACGACACTTTTCACAGGTCACACGTGCCAGGTCACGTGCCACCTGTGAGGGGCAAATGATTAGGGGAATTTCCCTTATTTACCTCTCGCCACGTGGACCAATCAGGGCCTGACAAGTGTCACCCATTTAGACTTATGAGGACCTGCCACATGGCACGCTTCCATTGGTCCGCCATAGACCTCCTATGCTACCCCTTGTGGCCCTATCAGCCTTGCCTAAACAGGTAATAGATTGGGCCAAAATCCCAAGAAAGCCCAGTCAGTCCTAGGGTTGGCCAAAAACCCTAGAACCTGGCACGCTTCCCTAGGCTATAAATACAGTCATAAATGCTCATTTATGACAGAGACTGTTCACAAGAAACACTCGGATTACACAAATCCCAAGACAATCACACATCACTCGGTACCGCCTACTAGACCCGTCTTAGCATCCGGCACCTATTTACATTCCGCTTTACAACTCCTTCATCTACTAACTTGATCGTTGGAGGCGGAGCTCCCTACCCAAGGAGTCTCCGTTATCTTGTAGGTACAGGCGCGTGGTTCCAGTCTCAAAGTTGTAACTCTCCCAAGGGACACAGAAAAACCCGGAACACAAACCTCCACAATAAGATGTATCGTGGTTTGTATCACCACAATTTTGACAAGAGAAAGAATGAACTTGAGAGGAGCTTGACCCACTATTAACACTCGTATTCAACTTTGCAAGCCCTTTTGTCAAAAGCTCAATTTGATGTTGCAATTGATCAACTTTCTTTAATTCTTACTTTCCACCTTTCTTTGGTGCATTCCTCCTTCAACCAACCCAAGAGTAGTTCTTCACTACCTCTTCGATTGTTACTTCAACTTGATTTCGGGGGCCTTAATCAATTGTCCACCCGCTCCCGCATCCAAGTTAGCTCTAGACATGGGTTCCAATCCATCATAGAAGAATCGCATGAGCAAGCTTCACTACTACATTTTTTATCTATTGCAACCCCCAAATCCGTTGCATTAGGCGTCAAAATCCGTGGCATTAGGTCTAATGCAACGGCCATGTACCGTGGCATCTGCTGGCGTTGCAGTAGGTCTAATGCAACGGCATATGACACCTAATGCCACGGCACCAATGATCCGTGGCAATAGACCAATACCTGTTGCAACGGCATAACTTATCCGTGGCAATAGAGTACTGACTAATAATTATGATGAAATTGAACCTATTGCAACGGATGAAGCTAATTAATACATTGATAGGAGTACGTATCTACTGCAACGGATTGATCATTGGTTTCTTTTTTTTTTTTTGTTGGGATGAAATGGTAATATAATATATGTATAATTAGTCCGTACAAATCTAAATATACTAACAGAAACAATGTATCATTTATATATAATAATTATAATGTGAAATACGAACATTACAAAATATTACTTGCTTGTTTAGGTATAACATACCCTACTAATAAAAAATAAAAGTTATATAATTAATTTATCGTCCAAAATACAAATTGTCAACATATATATATAAGCCGGAATTTCCAAATCTTCACAAAGTCGAAACTTAAATAAGAGTCGCCAACATATATGCACCATTTGTTAGATGACTAGTCACTATACTTCAGCTCCATTTAGCTCCCCATGCACCTACACATAAAATTGAAAAAACTAATAGAAATATAATTGAACTAAATTATAAATTAAAATAGACCAAGGCCACAATCAACATGAGAAAAGTTCAAAAGGCACAGATGATGATTGTTTAAAAGATGGCAGCAAAGAAGTTGCAGTCAAGGTGTTCTCAAAGACCGAGGCCCCTAAGCAATTTAAGGTTCGTAATTAGGCAACCAAATAGAGAATCATGCTCTCTTGATATCATTTATGTTGTATGATATGAGAGCTAACGCCTTAAGAAATGTTTTGGCACAGATTGAAGTGCTGGTCGAATTTCTCACAAGAACTTGGTTTCTCTCGTTGGATACTGTGAAGAAGGAACCAACTTGGCACTTATTTACGAGTTCATGGCCATGGGAGACTTGAAAGCTCTTCTCTCAGGTAGGACCTTGCATCCTAAAACCTCTATAGTCCTTTATTTTTTCCTAGCTGTTGCACTTATTAATTGAACCAAATGTTTTTTTTTTCCTTTCAACAACAATCAATTGATTTTTGGGTGGTTTATGAAAAGAATATTCTGACTCTGTAAGCTGGAGAAAGAGAGTTGAGATAGCAATCGACACAGCTCAGGGTGAGAGATATAACATAACATTCGTGTCTGCTTCTAAATCAGATTTTTTTATCAGATCACTCAGTATATTAAAATTTGTTGTGTAACTTTATATATAGGACTGGATTACTTGCATCATGGTTGCAGCCCGCCTATAGTTCATAGAGATGTGAAACCCGCTAACATTCTTCTAAACAAAGAATTTCGAGCAAAGGTAGCTGATTTTGGGTTTTCCAAAATCTTCCCTGCTAAATATGTTTCAAATTTACAAACAAGGGTAGTTGGAACACTAGGCTATCTTGATCCTCAGTAAGTGAGCCATTTCTGTCATTCATACATGACTATCTCACATATTCTAACACTCTTTTACCAAAGTAAAACTTTTATGCCACAATGATTATTACAGGTATAATTTAACAGGATAGGTGCATGAAAAAGGCGATGTTTACAGCTTTGGGGTTTAGCTGTAGATGATAACTATCTCACTGTGTGGAAATCAGTACAACTAGCAGTGAGATGTATTCAGCTAGAAATTGCAGATAGGCCAACAATGACTCAAATAGTGACATAACTCAAAGAGTGTTTGAATATGATGAACACAAAAAGTTCTAGTTCAGCTAAAGACTCTCTAGAGATGATGAGCACAGCTATTCCAAGTAGTACGATTTCAAGTAGTATGAAGAACACAGAAAGTATGAGTAGTAACTCAAGAATCTAAATCAAGAATCATGTCCTTATTGATTGATAATTTAGAGATGTAGCAGGCTATAAAAAGCATGAACTCAGCAACAAAAACATACAACAATAAAAAGCATCAGCAAACAACTAAAGCATCAACCATATAAAGAAAAAATAACAAAAGCAATAAAGCAATAATGGGCATCAGAAAAAGACATCAACAGCAGCAACATTTCAACAGTAGGTTCAGGGTATAAGTTATATTTCATGCATATGTAATTTGTCAGAAAAAAAAACAGGGATGATGACCTTGGATATGGTGAGTGCAGGGCTCCATTTCTCCTTTAGTATATCAAGGCAAATACTCCCATTGCTATTAATATTTGGATGGAATACCTTCGTCTTAAAGGCCACCTGCAGATAAATTTTATGATTTTAAGCTCGTTTTTACAATAACTATTATTGTACATCAGAAATTAAATTTAATACTCTACTTAAATTCGAGAAATATGAAATGAAATAATGATATACCTTAGGAGGCTTAAAGGGATAATCAGGTGGAAAATGGATGTTCACAAGGAAAACACCTCCTGCATAAGGACTCTCGTTTGGACCATAAATTCTTGCTTGCCAATGGAACATATCTTGTGCAATTGGACCTATATTTGTCACCAACTAGTGAGATTTGAAGCGACGAAAAAGACTAATGAATAAGGACTAGTTAGACAAATTAGAATTGCAAATCTCATATTTTGGATTACCTGCACTACAAGAACTAGGTTGATCTCTTTCCAGTTCCTTAAGCTCCTTTACAATTCTTCTAGATGGCATTTCGAGTTTTCTAACACAAAAAAACTGCAAAATAATAATCCAAGACTCTAATAATAATGGATCAACAAAAAAAAAGACTCCGCTATATGGATCCAGCAGCTGAAAATTAAATGATGACTTGTTCAGATAGAGTATCAAATCCAAGAGTAGGCTGAACCCCTTTATAAAAATGAGGCCCATTATAAGTCGGCTTTGTCAGAATCCTTTGCATTACCCTGCCAGGAGAACAGCCAACCAAACAGCGATGAAAACTTGTTGTATGCAGGCTCTGGCACAACATCCTTCACCGTGCAGATGGCCTGATAATCATCCTTCATATGAGGCTCAAGTATCCTTTCCTAAAAGACACAAAAGCAATTCGATGACTGAGAGGTGAGGTTTCTAACAAACGATAACATACACATTGATGCAGTAGTTACCTTGAAAACTTCAAATGGACAAAAGTCAGAGTTGTCGCAGCCCTGTTCAAACAAGTCAACAGTATCAAATGTTAACAAAAATAAATGAAATAAGAAGAAATCAGAAGATAAGCAAGACGGAAGCACAAAATTACAGTCTACAGTTTAATAGAATCATGAAGCAATTATGCACTCCCCCTCCATTCCTATTTACTAGTGTCCTAAGATTGTACAAGGCTCTTAAGGAGAAAATATTTAAAAAATAAATTAATAAACTAAAAAAGAAGTACAGAGAATAGTGGGTGGGTGTGTGGATAAACTACAGAAAAAAATGACAGTACCAACATACCATATGTCGATGTAGCAAATGAAAAGGGACCCAAAAAAAGGCAACATAAAGAAGGGGATACAAGAGGAGCTACATTGTTTTGGAGCCAAAATGTTGGAGGTGCAACACCAGAAAGTTTTGAGTAGGGAAAAAAAAACTACACCCTCTATTGAGCAGCAATTGAGTTTTCTATAGGCTTGGCTGCACTTAAGTTAGTTTATTAGTTTTGCCTCAAAAAAAAAAGTTCGTTTACTAGTATTATATAGACAAAAAGTGGCAATAGTGCATGCATAGCTTTAAAGACAGGAAGAGAACAAAGTCATTTCATTCCCCCTATTTTGCAAATGCTGAACAAATCCTTATTTGGCTAATATCCTACAATGTGTAACCCAATGTATACTTTAGCCACAGCTAACTGAAGCTTACCGGTAAATGTACTGGATGCTCATTCATATTGTATGTTATTGGCGCTAGGTGATGCATGCAACTGCGTACATTGATACTCAGTACTATATTATGATTCATTAATTTATTTTATTTTATTAGCAGGTAAGAATTAAGAAGGCAACCTTTTAAGCCAGGGTTATTTCTATTGAAAATGACTTGGTTCTACTTGTGTGAGGAAGGTGGCCTCAGAAAAAAAGAATAACTAATGAAAATACAAAAATAATATAACGATTTTAAAAATGTGGGTAGATAATAACAGTAAGACAAAAATGGTAGCAATAGAGAATTATTGGGGCAGTTTGTTTAACAGAAGAAGAAGAGTTTGATTCATCCTCATGGACATTCTCGTCTTGGTCTAGTAACACAATGGTGGACCAAATTTCAACTCAAGAATAAAGCTTCTGTTGCTTTCAGATCCCAGTTACCCTATGCATTTATTTGAAGTTGCCAATGCCCACCACTAATTTCAGTGATTAAATCTCTGAATACTCTGTTTTTAGCCTCTTTCACCTTATATCAAATTAATAATCTTACACTTGGCCCACGACTTATCAGTTGGTTAACAGATTGAGTTGTATACACATGCAATTATGAAAAAACAAATTTTGGCCACCAATTATCAAAGATAAATAGTTAGAAACTTGGATCACTAAAGTCTTACCCCATGAACCAAATCAGCCACCCCAAATCAATATATCTTCTTATCCATTTATATGAAATTCCCCCCCCCCCAAAAAAACCCCATTAGACTACTCAATTACAATATTCAGTACTTCTAGGTTTCAAAAATAAAAAAATAAAAATCTCAATTTTGCTAAACAAAACCCATTAGCCGTTTAATTCCAAGAGTTACCAAAGCATAAACTTCATCTTCCATAGCATCAAATACAAATTCCCAAACACAAAAGCAAAAACTTCAAATTTAATTCTCAAAAACGAAAATTTGTTGTTTACCTTGAAGAGAATTTCGAGCAATCAGCTCAAGGAAGGGACATGAAACAATGAAATTGAGACCGTATGTACCGCCTGACTGCCGCCACCACCGCCTGACTGCCGCTATCAGCCACCACCTTCGTCTACTACTTCCTCGTAATTATTTGCTTATTTTCCTCTTCGAATTTTTGACTGATTTTTTTTCGTGATTTTCTGAGAATAAGTACTGTGAATTTCTGGAGTTGAATGTGAGATGATGGGGAAAATAGAGAATTGGGGGAAATTGAGAAAATGGAGAATTGGGGGAGAAATATGAGAATAGGTACTGTGAGTTTGTGAGAATGAGTGGAGAACGAAAATGGGGGAGAAAATTGGGGTAAACACCACGTGTGTTTGTTCAAAATTTTGGTGAAAAAATTAGAGGGAACAATGCGCGCTCTATCTAAAATTTTCATTTGATACAACACCACCGTTGCATTAGCTTTCATTTTTGTTAAAATAACTAGGCTATTGCAACAGTTCTTTAGAGCCGTGGCAATAGCTCTACCTCTAAGAGCATTAGTTTTAACTCCGTGGCAATAGCCTACTCTATTGCAACGGCAATAAAAATACCGTTGCAATAGGCTATCTATTGCCACGGCATTTGGATAGGGCGTTGCAATAGCTCATTTTTTGGCGTTGTATTTGATCGAAAATGTAGTAGTGCTTTGATTGTATTCGTGGTGAGGACATGCTTGTACCAACTCCTTGAACCTTTACCAAAGCTTCACTAAGACTCTCATACGCTTCTTGTTCAAATGATGCAATCTTCCTTCTCATTTCGGCGGTCTTTTCTTCGGAAATGAACCTCTTCAAGAATGCCTTGACTATCTCTCTCCATGTTGTAAGAGAATTTGGCTTAACTTCTTTGAGCCACTTCTTTGCCCTACCCGAAAGAGATTGTCGAAATAAGTGCATACGGATGTATTCTTAAGAAACTTGATTGGTTTGAATCATGGCACAAAGCTCAAGGAATCTATCAAGGTGCTCAATAGGATCTTCACTTCGAGAACCCGAAAATTGTTCCGCTTGTACCATTCTAGTGTATTGAGGATGAATGGTAAAATTGGTTTCCGTGACGGGTAGCGAAATCCCTCCCGTGAGCTTATAATCCTCCGCATTCCCAAACTCACGAAACAAAACATCTTCTTGTCCCGCCATTTCCTCACTTTAGGAATTTGAAGACCAAGAATCACTCTCACTCTCAACAATAGCACCAAGACTTCTCCCCTCTTCTTGATAAAGCCTACGACTTATCTCAAAGTGCAGTCGATCTCGTGGTCAATGTAATGTGTACGTGGTCCTTAAGATCTCCTTAGCATCCACCAAAACTAAGCAAACGATTAGCAATGACTAGAAAGAGAGTAAAGGAACAAATAAATAAATAAATAAATAAAATAAAAAAAAAAAACAAATCCAATAACAACACAATAAGAGTGCAAAACTAGTCGTTTCCCCGGCAACGGCACCAAAAATTTGATCGAGGGACAATACGTCGTGTCTACTATCCTAAATCAAATCAACAATTTATATTCCTAACCTAACTCTATCAAGCTTACACTAGATAGTGGCAAGCTAGGGTTGAACCACAAGGAAACGGGGTATTGCACAATCAAAGTGGAAATAAGAATCTATTGCAAGTAACAAGGGGTATTTTGGTTTGTTTTTGTGAATATCTAAGATTAAACTATCTACCAATAAAGGATTAAAACAAGCAAAATAAGGAGTTAAACTAGAATCACAAAAATAAAGATGAGAAATAAGATTTTAATGGAAATATGATCAAAAACACTAGGGAGAGGGGGTTTCAATCATGATCAACTAAGACAACTATGATAATCATCATGAATTCATGCCAAGGAGTACAAACTCTACTCAAAATAATTCATTCTCATGCAATCAATCAAAGCAAGTCGATGAAATCGATCAAACCTAAACTAGATCATTCTCATGCTAGAACTCAAATATTGGGGTTAGAGGTGCACAACAATAGCTCCAAGCATTATAAGTACAAAATCATAAACTCAAGGCAAAACCCAATCAATCATCAATATAAACTCAATCAATCATGATTTTCACCTCCTTCCCTAGCTAGAAACCTAAGCTAGAGGAAAGAGGATAGTCATACCAACTACTCTAAACATGGATTTAATCCCAACAAAACCAAACATGATTCAAACCAAAGAAAAAGCAATGAAATAAGTAAAAGCAAGGAACCAAAGAAAAAGCAATGAAATAAGTAAAAGCAAGGAACACTATTAAGAGCAATAAAACCAAACAAAAGATGAGGGGTAAAGATGATTACTACTATTAAACTTGAAGGATTAAGCAAACATGGACTAGTTGCATTGAAAAGATGAAAACATGAAGGACGCTTGAAAAGATCTTGATTACAATAATGGAAACTTGAAGGTTAAGCCACTTTATCTCTCTAAAATGTTGATATTCTCTCTCTACAAAATATTGCAATGGAATAGTGAATAGTTTTCATGAAAATTCAAGCCAAAGAATATTTATAGTTTCTTGATAAAATAAAGAAAACGGGTGAGGGAGAGGCCTCTCTAGCAAGTTGTCGTGCCCTCTCTACTGTAGGTACGAAGTTGGAAAAACCCAGCTCGCCGCGCCCGCGGCCTTGATTACCACGCCCATGGCCACCAAGGCCGCGCGCGCGGCCTTTAGCTGCTGCGCCCGTGGCCACCATGGTCGCGCCCTCTTCAAGCCTTTTCCCAGCCATCTCCAGAAACTGTTGTTCAGCTTAGGACCTTCCGGTTTGCGTCCGCGACTTTAGCACCCGCGCTCGCGGCTTGCTATTGCAATGCCCTCACCTTTTTGCACCTCCTCTTCTTGGAATAAGCCACTCTAGCAACTTTAACTCTTGTTAGCAACTCAAATTCCGCCCACGAGTGCCAGGAGTTATCAAAGCAAACAAATAAAGGGTAAAAAGCAAAAGAAAAGATAAAAGGAAAGGAAAAACACGAGGAAGAACAAAAGTACCTAAAATAAAGGTAAAAACGGTAAGAAGAGGTACAAACAAGAGACAAATTATGGGAATTCATTAGTGAAAAAGGGTTAAATGGTGGCGTTCACGCCACTCATCAATTATATAAGGTTCAACTTGTTGGGTTTCGTAGAGTCCGACTCTACGCGGAAGAGAAACCCGCCCAAGACCCACCCACTAATTAAGGCAACTAAGCATGCAATCAAAATTATAAAACAATTAAGAGAGAGAAGGAAAAGACATTCATACCCTTGGCGCGTGCTTCGCTCGATCCCGAGCTCTTACTTCAAAACTTGAACCCCACAAATGCGAAGGATTCCAACGGCTCGTACCCACGAACCTGACGCGAACGGTCCTAGTCTCGAAGGTTAGTCGGGACTTGACCAATAAAAACTAGTGTTTTACGAACTTAAGGTTTTCTCACTTTTCTAAGGAGATACCTTTTTATTCCACTCAAGTGTTCTTCCCAAATCCCAAAACATGGGTATTTATAGGGAAATGAACCTTGATTTCCCATTCACAATCAATGTGGGAGTTTTGCAATTTTCCCCATTTTATTTTAATCAAAACCAAAATAAAATTGTAATTCAATCACCAAGTTACAACTGGTAATAGGAGGAGAGGGAGAAGGTGAGGACCACCAAGGGAGGGGACCAACCCACCTTGCTCCCTAAGGCAATGACCAAGCATTGGTCCCCACTTAGCGAAATCGGACCACCAAGGCATGTGGCTAGCTGGCAGCCTGCCTTGGCTGCCAAGGCTGCCAACTGGCGCCTAGCACCAAGGCTGGGCAACCTGGCCAGCCAGCCAGCACACATGCACAGCCAGCCGCAAGCATGCGTAGCCAACTAGTGCATGCGTGCTGTTAGCGAGCCATGCATGTTGGGCGCTGCTGCTAGGCGAGGCAAAGCGTGATGTTGCATGCTAGCACACACGCACAGCCTAGCATGCCTAGCACACTGCTGGCTGGTGCGTGGTGCTATGCAACACTGTTGCTAGCAATGCGTAAGCGCCTAGCATGCTAGCAAGGCCTAGCCTTGCGATGCTTTCTTGGCTAGCGATGGCTGGGCGCTTGGCATGCTAGCATGCACGCAAGGGTGCGATGGCTAGCTAGCATACATGGCCCTAGCACGCCTAGCATGCTAGGCTTGTGGCTAGCATTGTGATGCGCATGCCAGCTTGAGATAGCCTAGCCCTCGCATGGCTAGGCCAATGCGAGGCTACGTCCTAACTCGAACTTGTAACTTGATTGATTTCACATCTCGTCGAATTCCAAATTTGACTCGACTTGGGACGCTCGGTCTCGACGCTCTAAGCTCGATATCCGATGTCTTTGTTCGTAAAACTCTGACGACTCATCACATCCTTCGGATTGATTCTTCGTCTTGGATTGGTTGTTCGATTGGGTTCGACCCGAAGGGTGTAGTCAAGATTAAGTTGTAATATTTATTGTACGTTAATATTTCTGGTCGGAAGCGGCCTCCACCTAGGCATTCCGATCACTTGACCTTACTGAAGAATTAGCTTTCTAATAATTCTGAACCCTCCACCGGAATAATACACTTGTTGGAAGGACATAATTCCTTTTAATCTCCCACATGTCCTTCCGGACAAGTGTGCAATTTGTGTATAGCCCTTTTCCTATGTCGCTTAATGTCTCTTCATGAACTATAAGGTAAGATTCTTCGTCATCCTTATTACGTCCAGAAGTGTTTCTCGATTCCCGAGTTTGACTTTCAATAAACAGATGATTTCTAAAATCTATCTGAGCACGGCCATGCATTTTCATAGTCTCGCTCTTCGAGAGGCCTTGTAATCAACAAAGACATATTTCCGATTGTTAATAGGGGGACGTTCCCAGTCTTGTACTGTAAGCTTCCCTTACTAAGAAGACCTAGTCGCCTGAGTGTTGTCGTTATAATCCCCATTTGCGGCAGATGTTTGACAACATCAAAACGACTAGTTCTCAAACAAGAGAACTTGCAATCTCATGGTCTAGGAAAAAAGTTCCTATAGCTATAATGAGAAATATACTTATGACGATTTGATATCTCTTAAAGTTTTCTCATAGGTCTATCCTGTACAGTTCCAAACTAGTACCTGTGCAAATGATTTATGACTATCATGTCCTTGTAGCACAAGAAACGGTGCTATAAATCATACTACACACTAATCACAAGTGGTCATTAATCGTCCATCGTTTAAATGACCTCAATTAGGGATAATTTTCAATTAAAATATTCAATGTTCACTTAACAGGTGTTTCTTTATCCAAGACATGGCCTTGATACCCTGTTT